GAGATGATTGTATTAAACAGTGGAGCAGGCTTGAAGGGCTGAATGCCTACTCCCACTCCTAGTTCTTGTGTTCTTATCAGTTTTCATTCCTGCCTTTTAAACGTGGCTGAACTGTTTCATCACTGAGCAGATTCAAGTTGTGAGTTTATCAAAAATGACTGCCTTTCCTGTTCCCTGCTCCTGACAATGCTTCCAAGTGATTTCTCTGAGAATGGGCTGATTTTGAGGAGGCTCCATGGACCTTTAGAAATGGTGGATGGGATCTGATTCTGGAATACCCAAACCCCATTCTCAGCGTCCCCAATTTTCACCAGCGGACTCACACCCTCATTTTCAACCTGTTTGGTACCAATGTAATAGTAGGCATCTCCTGGTGCCCCCAACATTGTCTTGGAGTTGGGTCAACTGCTTAAGGACCTGTGGATCATAGCCCCTCAGAAGAGTTGTGAACTGGTCTGGATGTGGGAACCATTATATTGATAAAGAAGCCACCCCCCACCCCCACCCCCCAACCTAACCCAAATGGCTGTTAAGCCCACCATGCCAACACAAAAGCTAATGCAGAGACTAAAAAGGCAATCAAAGAGTCTAATCGAATGCTGGTCTTTACCAACGGAGTAATTAATGATGCATAGGTGCAGCACCTTGTCAGATCACATCTGGATGTCTGCATTCTGTCTGGTCACTACAGCTCGGGGAAGGTGTGCTGTCCGCAGGTTTGCCAAGGGGGTAAATTATGAAGACAGGCTCTGCAAACTTGGCCCGAATTCCATTGAGATTGAAACTTCAAGGAGTTGAAGTGATAGAAAGGATTTGATAGGTTAGTCATACTGCTTCCTTTGGTGGGGGATTACAGAACAAAGGGACAGCATCTTAAATTCAGAGCCAAGCCATTCACGAGTGAAATAAGGAAGCACATTTTTTCCATACAGATGATAACAGGAATTCGGAACTTCAAGGGGCTCTGTATGTTGGGGCTTTTGAGACTGAGACTGCTGGATTGTTGAGAGGTCAAGGATAGGGAGCAATGAACATGTATCAATGTGCCCCTTTTTTGGTGATGAGAACCTGAACATCCCAACTCTTTGCTATTCTTTCTTTTGACGTTGGCATCTCTGGTTGAGCCAGTATTTATTGCTAGTCTCTACTTGCCCTTGAGAAGGTGGTGGTCGGCTACTACTACAGTCCAATAAGCTGCCGGCCAATTCCCTAAGCATCTCAGCGTGCCTCGTTGTCAAGCTTCTCCTATACTTTGCCCCATCAAAATCCTCATCCAAATCCCTTCCTCCTGCAGCTGCTGAGGCTATCCAGATGGAAGCCCCGCACCCCATCCCTGTATCTGAAAGCGTACGGCAGAGGGGGCTGGTTGGGCTGTGGGATTGTGGCAAGGGTTCCTCAACCACGGCACCTTCAGCTTCCACTTGGTGCCATGTCTAAGGACAAGGGTTAACAGCTGGTTGAACTGTTTGTCAAATCCCATTATCCCGGGGAATCACTGCTCTGACAGATCCACTGCCTGCATTACCACCGGCCTCGTGCTGTGGAGAACTATCCCCTGCACAGGACACCGCGTCCGTCTTGTCTTTTACCTTTCTCTGCCATGTCGGGTGACCTTCTTCTGCAACAGACAGAGAGGACAAAGCGTAGGGGATTGTGTGCCACTCTGCTCAGATGCTTTGTCGAGGCAGGGTGAGGTGAGGATAACTGCGATGCTGACAACATTGATAGATGTGTGTGGACGAACTGGAGTCTGTGAAACGTGCGTGTGCATCCTCAGTGTCAGTGAGTGTTCTGGGTGACGGTACTAAGCAGAGTGAGGGGTTGTTGGCACTGTGGTTATATTCACACAGCTTGACCAGCGGTCAGGGTATTTTATCCTCCCTTGCTGGCCTATTCGTGGTGCCAGCCCTGTGGCAGTGCCCTACTGTACTGCCATTCTTTCTTCAGGTTGTGCCCTCGAGGGCTTCCTTCCTAGACCTGAGAGCACCACCCAATTCCTGGAGTCCAGCTCTGTGTCCAGAGAAACCAGGATAGTGTCGCTAAAGTGGCCCAAGACCTCTACTGACTTTCAGCCAACCCCCATTTGAGGCCTGTGCGCTCCTGAAATGGGCAGACAGCCTTTCAGAAGAGAAAGTTTCCTGAAGATGAGTCTGATATTGGGAATTGTTTCATGTTAATAATGTAGTAATAAAACTGAACAGAAACCAAGATCCAGGGAAGCCCAGCTAAATGAAGGGAGACAACCAGCAAATCCATGGGTGCTCCATCAGAAAGCAGATCACAGAATCTCTATAGTGCGGAAGCAGGCCATTTGGCCCATCAAGACTATGCCAACCCTCTGAAGAGCATCCCCCCCACCCTGTCATTGTAACTATGAATTCCCCATGGCTAACCCACCTAGCCTGCATATCTCTGGATACTGTGAGCAATTTCCCATGGCCAACCCACTTAACCTGCACACCTTTGGACTGTGGGAGGAAACCCATGCAGACACGGGGAGAATGTGCAAACTCCACACAGTCACCCGAGGGTGGAATCGAACCCGTGAGGCAGCAGTGCTAACCAGTGAGCCACCGTCCGCCCCAGATTTCCTGCCAAACGAAGGTAAATAATTCATCCAGTCCCTATTCCAGTTTCTACTTCAGAAATACTAGAAACAAAGGAGGTGGCAGTCAGAAGTGTACATTGCTCATTCCTGGAGTTCCTGGTACTTGTCAATTGCCAGAGGCCATCAATTATAACAGGAATGACTGTTGAAGGAAGGAGTAAGGTGTTTTCGATCTGATCAGCTTGCAGCAACTTTCCTGGCTGCTGCAAATTCAGCATCAATCAACTGGCTCAGGGCTGTGCCCATTAGTCCCACTCATGCACCAAAAATCAAACAGAGGGTGCTAATGTCTTTGGATAAAGCAAACATTTTTAATTGCTCTTTCAAGCAAACAATGAGCACTGCAGAAAAGCAATGCTGCTGGCTCAAATCCTGTGGCTCTGGCTGATTATAAATCATTTATTCAAACGGTGGAAATATGTAGAAAGGAGAACAGTTTTAGAGCAATAAATCAGGCTGCTGGCAAATCACTAAGGGTTCATTACTTCTTTGGAAATGGGAAGGAAATGTGGCGTTAATTCAGGACTGCCATAGACTCCATCTATTAGAATTACCGATTTTAGCTGAAGGTGAGAGGGAAGTGGCACAGAAGGTTCTGGAAATTATAACATGGCACAAGTCACCTACTCCATAATTTGCTCTTTTTATGTACCCATCAACATACAGAAGCCCTGTTGGAATACTGCGTTCAATTCTGGTCTCCCTGCTATAGGAAAGATGTTGTGAAACTTGAAAGGGTTCGGAAAGGATTTACAAGGACATTGCTAGCATTGGAGGGTTGGAGCTATAGGGACGGCGATTTTCCCCGCAGCGTCGGAGGCTGAGGAGTGACGTTTTAGAATTTCATAAAATCATATGGGGCATGAATAGAGTGAATAGTCAAGGTCTTTTCCCTGGGGTGGAGGAGTCCAAAACGAGAGGGCATAGGTTTAAGGTGAGATGAGAAAGATTTAAAAGGGACGTAAGGGGCACCCTTTTTCATGCAGAGGGTTTTACGTGTATGGAATGAGCTGCCAGAGGGAGTGGCTGGTACATTTACAATATTTAAAAGGCATCTGGATGGGTAAGTGAATAGGAAGGGTTTAGAGGGATATAGGCCAAATGCTGGCAAATGAGACTAGATTAATTTAGGATATCCGGTTGGCATTGACAAGTTGGACCAAAGGGTCTGCTTCTGTGCTCTATGACTCTATTACGCTATTGCAAGTTTCCAGCAAATTCCAGGTCAATATTTTAATGAAGCTTCTGCCTGTTTTGGGCAGTCTACCTTGCAAAACTGAAAATAAATTCTTGGTGAAGTAATATTTGCCAGTTGGTTAACAGCCCTCTCCAACTAAGCTGTTTCATTCTGACTGTTGGAAATGTAACCCCATGAAGGGTGAGGGTTAGAAGATAGCGTGCTGTTTAAGAGGAAACAATTCTATTCGAATTGTAGAAGAAGTATAACCCCAGAGTACAGAATAGCTCAGGGTGACAACATCAGTTGCATCCTCTGCATACAAATTCTGAATAAATACATCAATACAGTCAAAACTAATAGGCTTAACAAATCAGTAATGTGTCATCTGTAATGTGTTGAATACCCACAGAAATGAAAGTACATGACTCTTGGAGTTTTATTATCTGTTTCACCATCAATCCTACACTTTACTATCACTGTTAACATTCACAATTGTGATAAGTTAATAACCTATTATCACTGCTAGTTCTACATCTTCATCCTCCAAACTGGAGTGGTGTCTTAATAGGATTTGCGATGTACCCAGTTATAGACCTCATCTGTTGCTGGTTGTGGTAATAGCTGTTTTGGAAAACTTTGGTCACAAGAGGTCAATTAGGTTCAGTAACAGGTCATTCGATCAAGGAGTCACAGAGTTGTACAGCACGGAAACAGACCCTTTGGTCCAACTTGTCCATGTCGATCAGATATCCGAAATAAATCTAGTCCTATTCGCCAGCATTTGGCCCCTATCCCTCCAAACCCTTCCTACCCATCCAGATGCCTTTAAATGTTGTAATTGTATTCACCTCCACCACTTCCTCTGGCAGCTTATTCCATACATACACCACCCTCTGCATGAAAAACTTGCCCCTTAGGTCCCTTTTAAATCTGTCTCCTCTCACCTTAAACCTATGCCCTCTAGTTTTGGACTCCCCTACTACAACTCCATGTCCCTCATGATTTTATAAACCTCTATAACGTCACCCCTCAGCCTCTGACACTCCAGGGAAAATAACCTATTCAGTCTCTCCCTTCAGCTCAAACCCTCCAACCCTGGCAACATCCTTGTAAATCTTTTCTGAACCCTTTCAAGTTTCACAACATCTTTCCTACCACAGGCATAAATTTGTGGAGGGAAAAGGAAGTCAGATAGTTTTGAGCTATACTTACAATCTGATTTCCCCCATTGAGAGGGCGCTGGTGATCCACAGGAGGTCCAAAGTTTTAAAGGGAACCAAAACAAAGCTGACATTTGCTGCAAGATTTTTTGCACTCTCCGGGTACATGAAGTGGTGCGTTGTGCGGCTGCCCACGTCTGCTTCGAAGCCGATAGTTGGAGCTTGGTTCATTCTGTAATAAATGAGCACTTTGAGTTTAATTAAGACCCAGAAAGCCATTATCTACAATTCTCTGAAAATAAACTGGAGGGAGACTAAAGATTGAGTTGGAATAAAACTGAGTGATTCACATAGAGGTCACATCTAACCTGTTAACATGAAACGTTTTATCAAAACAGCTGCTGCCAAGTTTGTTTCTGAATCAAACTTGGGCTGCTAAGTGATAAAGAACATAATTGCCAGGCAATAATGATCTCAGAACTACCACTACAACAACCTGGACGTCATCATTGTCCTGAAATGTAACTGGGGTCAGTCACCTAAAAGCTGTGACTTACAAAAGCTGCTCAGAGGCTGGGAATCATGCAGCAAACAATTCACCTCCTGACTTCCCAGAAACGTTCCAACATATGAAATGCACAAGTTGGGATTGTGATGGAATACTCTCCACTTGTCAAATGAGTGCAGCTCCAACAAACTGTAGAAATTTTACACCTATTAGGACAAAGCAGACCAGGTATTCACTCCCTCCAGCACTGCCACACAGTGGAACACTGTGCACTAAGAATAGATACTTAGACAAAGTGGTCAATATCTATTATGCCCAAATGAGCAGAAATGCTCTAGAGCTCTAGTGGGCAACAGAACTCTGGAGTCAAGGCTTGGCACGGTTTGAAGATGAGACAGGCTAGGTGCTGGCGTGGACTAGGGTGGAAAGACTGTAATTCTGAAGCTTTTATTTCTTTTTTTTTCTAATTTATTCCTATGTTTTTGTAATTTAGTACCTAATGCTGGATGTTTTATTTCTTTATTTTGCAAAGTTTTCTGATTTAAGAATATGTACCAGGGTACCTAAGTGCCCAAGATGGCGTCGTAAGTAAACTTTTCACTGTACTCATACGAGTACATGTGACAATAAAGCTATTTCTAATTCGAATTCAATGAGTGGGCCTCCACAATCCTATAGGTAAAGAATTCCAAAAATGCACCACCCTCTCAGTGAAGAAATTCTTCCTCTCCTCAGTCCAGCCTCTGAAACTGTATGCCCTTGTTCTAGATTCCCCAAACAGGCGGAATATTTGTCCTTCAGTGTTTATACACTTCAATGAAATCAGCTCTCATTCTTCTAAGCTCTAGAGAATTAAGCCCAGTTTCCTCAATCTCTCCTCATAGGACAATCCTGCCAACCCAGGGATCAATCTGGTGAACCTTCATTGTGCTTATTCTATGGCAAGTACTTCCTTCGTTAGGTAAAGGGAACAAAACTATATGCAATGTGTACAACAGTATATTCAATGTGCTTTCTTTCCCCCTCCCAGCCTGTACTTTACTCTCAGGTATCCGTTATTCTATACATAAACCATACAAACCCATTGATTAGATTCTAGTCTGCAACTCACTCCCAGGTATCTGTCCTATATATAAACTATCTGAATTTCTTGATTAAATTCCAGTCTGTAACTCACTCCCGGGTATCCATTATTCTATATATAAACTATCTGAACCCCTCAATCAGATTCCAGTCTATAACTTATTCCTGGGTATCTGTAATCCTATATATAAACCATCTGAACCCCTCAATCAAACTCCTGTCTGTATCTTACACAACGTACCTATTCTACATTGAAAGCAGTACACTTCATAGATAGATTCCCACCTTCAATAACTGCTGGAAGCTTATTACCTTTTGGTATAAAACCAGCTTAAATATTCGATTAGATTGTAGCCTGTAACATTTGTTGATATATATATATTCTATTGTTGTTCACCTTAATGCTTCGAATAATTTTCAGTATGTGACTTTGTCTCATGTATTGGTTACTTCATATCTTTAGAATAATAGTGCGCCTCCCATTTGACATGTCTATGTATCCAAAAATACCAAAAAAATGTGAACATCTAAGTGTGATGGGCTGAAGGAAACATGAATTTAACATGACACTTTGCCACACTCCCTTGACACAGAAATAAAGAAAAGAGAAAAAAATGAAGAATGTAACATGACCCTTTGCTGAAGTAGGCAAGAGACAGTTTCCTTCATGAAAAGGGGCACCAGATGAAATATTAATGTGTCAGTTCCCATTCCTTATGAGAACTCCCAATAACCTAGCTTCCACAGATACACCCCATCTTGAGAAACCTATTTTGAGTTCGAAAAGGTTGCTGCTTGCTGATTTTGTATGATGCAAACCACCTCGACGACTCTACCCTCACCACAGCCTCGGAGTCAGATCATTACAATTCAAAAATTTCTGAGGCTAACCAACAAATGCTGTGGATTTCCATCATTAGTCCAATCAACCACAAATACTAGCCCTCACCCCCCCCCCCTCCCCGTGTTGACATGGTACAGTTCATGAGCATCTCATAGAAATCATAGAATCCCTACAGTGGAACAGCGACCATTTGGCCCATTGAGTCTGCACCAACCCTCTGAACAGCATCCCTATAACCCCACACATATCGACACATTTATGTACAAACATATCCCTTCAACATTCAGAAAGCAGAGTAGGGTTTCAACCATCCAGGATTATCTGGGAGACTCTGAAGATTGAAAACTAATTTTCAGAACATTAATTTGCTGCACAGAGCCCTGAAATAAATCAGACCGGCTTTAAAAATGCTTCTTAATATTGTTTGAACTCTTTTGTTTTATTATTTACAGAAATATTAAAAATGGATAAAATGGCTGTGTGATTATACAGGTGATGGAAGCCTCCAGGAACACAGTCAGTATCAAGCAGAGTTGGTAACACTAGGCTAATATTTTATAAAATGAGACAAAAACAGAAATTGCTGGCGAAACTCAGCAGGTCTGGCAGCATCTGTGGGAGAAAGCAGAGTTAACATTTTGACACTGGACTCAAAATGTTAACTCTGCTTTCTTCTGAATGTAGTTTCTGGACCTACTGAGTTTCTCCTGTAATTTTTGTTTTTGTTTCAGATCACCAGCATCTTTGTTTCATTCTATGAAATGAGACTGGGCTTTCATGGTCCAAATGGTGCAAGACACCTCTGAAACCAAACGGTCGAGATTAAAATCAGCCAGGGATGAACACAATTTCCCTCACTTTATTTTCCCTTTGCACCTTTTCCCTCACATCACACAGCATTTCCTGGGGCTCGCATCCAAACCAGTGGAGCTGCTGCGTATGAGTGAAATATCGAAATTGTATTTCTAAGTATTCTTTGCTCTTTCACTCACAGGAAGGAACAGAAAGAAAAGACTTATAGTCCTTCCTGTTAATTTGAGCTTTGTAAATAGATTCACACCATGGTGTCACGACTGGAGCAATAGCAACCTCAAAGACACACGTTGCTATTGGTAACAGCCATAGCTGCTCCCTGGGTGTTTCAGGCTGCATCTCAAACAAGTAAAGCAGCTTTGGGAAATGGCCCAGACTCCATACTTTAAGCAGCTTGTGAGGAGATTCTGAGTGATTCAACCCTGTTGGCTTTTTCATTATGTGCTGCACCTCACCCCTGTGTACCATCGGCACTGGCCTGCTCCAACACTTTAACCTTCACTGTGGTTTCCAGAGACCCGTTGAACCCCATGAAATTTATACACACTTACCCTTGCCAGGAATGAGTTATCATATTACCCGAGTAACGAACATATTGAGATAAGCATCGAACTGGGTCGTTCAGCACATCTGGTTTATTTACTCTTTCATTGTTGTGTAGAGACAATGTGGGATTTGTGTCACGACAGGAGGTTAGCAGAAGCCCTAGCATTCCAATGTGATGGAATCATAGAGTCATAGAGCACAGAAACAGACCCTTCAGTTCAACTCATCTGCACCAGATATCCTATACTGATCTAGTCCCATTTGCCAGTACTTGGCTCATATCCCTCTAAACCCTTCCTATTCATATACCCATCCAGGCACCTTTTAAATGTTGTAATTGTACCAGCCTCCACCACTTCCTCTGGCAGCTCATTCCATACACACGCCACCTTCTGCGTGAAAAAGTTGCCCCTTAGGCCCCTTTTGAATCTTTCTCCTCTCACCTTAAACCTATGCCCTCTAGTTTTGGACTCTCCTACCCTGGGAAAAAGACCTTGACTATTCACCCTATCCATGCCACTTATGATTTCATAAACCTCTGTAAGGTCACCCTTCAGTCTCTGACACTCCAGGGAAAATAGCCCCAGCCTATTCAGCCTCTTCCTATAGCTCAAACTCTACAATTCCTGCAACATCCTTGTAACCTTTCAAGTTTCACAACATCTTACCAAAGCAGGGAGACCAGAATTGAATGCAGTATTCCAAAAGTGGTCCTAGCCATGTCCTGTAAAGCTGCAACATAACATCCCAACTCCCATACTCAATGCACTGATCAAAAAAGGCAAGTGTACCAAATGCCTTCTTCACCACCTGTCTACCTGCAACTCCACTTTCAAGGATAACAAGGTGTGGAGCTGGATGAACACAACAGGCCAAGCAGCATCAGAGGAGCAGGTAAGCTGACGTTTCGGGTCTAGACCCTTCTTCAGAAATGGGGGAGGGTAAGGGGTTTCTGAAATAAATAGAGAGAGAGGGGGAGGCGGATGGAAGATGGATAAAGGAGCAGATCGGTGGAGAGGAGACGGACAGGTTAAGGAGGCAGGGATGGAGCCAGTAAAGGTGAGTGTAGGTGGGGAGTTAGGGTGGGGGTTGGTCAGTCAAGGGAAGACGGGCAGATCAAGGTATTTTCCACTTCCAAGGAACTATGCACCTGCACCCCAAGGTCTTTTGATATGCTAAGACTCCAGGAGAAACTCGTGAAGAAACACCCAGCTGCCTCTTGTATTAAAGTGTGAAGAGAAAATGAGTGGTTATGCCACAGCATTTGTAATGCAGAAGCTTGGCCTCATGCTGTGGAGATGCAAAATTCACTGCAGTAGCTCACCAAAGTTCCTTCAACAGCACCTTCCAAACCTACGATCTCTACCATTTAGAAGGACCAAGGCAGCTTGGAACAGAAACTGCATCATCTGCAGGTTCCCCTCTGAGCAACTCCTGA